CCTAAAACGGCAGCATGATTACAAAATTCACGAGCGTTATGCCGCAGATGTGATAATGACACCAAGAATCAACCCCCTGATAGGTGTACAGTTAATTGTTTCTATTACACAATATGTCACACTTCCGCTGGCTGAATCCGTTTTCAGGATTCACTTATATGCCATTAGGCGCGCGCGTTAATACTTAATCGAAATATAACCTTAATTTTTCTCCAGTCTGATCACTTACAGATCCACATGCGCTCTCAGCTCGATCTACATCTGTCTGATGCATACAGAGTTGGACACAATTCCCCCTTCCTTTGAAACTAATCAAATTTACGTGGGCGTCCATAAGCTTTTGGGTGTGATATCCTGGTGGCCATATTAATTTGCACACAACGCAATATGATCATTTTCGGCCCGCCAAAATGCAACTATGACCTTAATTAAAAGGTTATTGCACGGAATATCAAAGACTGGATAATTAAAAGAATGGACGGATCGAAGTCCGACAAAATGCGTGCACGTCTCTGATTGGACAGCTTTTAATTAACTGTCAGGTATATTCGCTGAGAAGCCGCGCGGGATGATAATACAACATGGGTACCACGGAGATACTCGGAGCTTCTCGAAAATGATCCATCTAGTGTGAATTCCAGACCCTGCTCGGTGGCAGTTGTGACCAATCACCAGGGAGTTAATCGATGTGGGTACATCATATAAAATTACCAATAATGTCTAGATGCCTAGAATACGCATGATAAGTTTAAATTAATAGTACTGCCAGTATGTCATCCAGTCCTATAAGTGATATCAAGCATTGACGAAATTTAAAGCATTCCCACTGCTTGTTAGCAGTTTAACTTGCTAAACAAAACCACGTTAAGTGATCATTCACTTCGTGCTTAACCGAATGAAACATTCGCGAATTCCATTGTAATTTGCTAGGTGTTCTTATATCTTGCAGTTCTGCGTTAAATAAAATAGGCATTTTGGGCAGTGGTTGCAAGAGCAAACTTATTTCGCAACACTATATTTGAAAACACATATATTGTTTACACCTAGTGAATGTAGCGATTGGAGACAAGTTGATTCATAAAGTTTGTCCCTGTGGACAAGTACATTGCAAACCATCATACTGGCTCGCCCCTCGGCAGAATTCCATTCATCATAGAATAAATGCTGTAGATAACCTTAGCCCCCCGAGAAGGGGGTAGATCTATAAATCACCGAACAGACTCAAATTCTCATCATCTCCTGGCAGATTGTTTTGTCAAACGAACCAGAACATCGGGAACTGAACAATGCGAGCGTTTTTGAAGTTACGCCAGTTCTCGGTATATCTGCGATTTTCTGAACCAGTTTATAGATCTTTCTGCTTAATTTCCATGTGGATGTTTTGAATCAACTGAGCGAAAGATGCTCGAGTTCACATGCCTTAAGCCAATTAAGATATAGGAAAATGAGCAACAACACATTTAGGGGAACTACACATAACGAAAAGGACTATGCTTAAGTTCTGCTTACGTCGCTTACGAATGGACATTTAGGTTCTGCA